AGTATTTGAGATTGGTCTCAACACAAGGGGATAGTATATTTATCTTTAATTTGCTTGTAGAAAGATGGATGGGATGTGTTGAGATAAGTGGAGTTATACGTCATTAGCAACTAGCAAAAAATTTTTAAAAGGGGACCAATTATATATGCACTATTTCCAACTTTCGCCAAAATTTAGGTGGGGATGTCTATAGTGGAAATACACACAATTGACAATATATATATATATATATAAAATAAAAATTATGATGGGAGGATAATAAAATAACAAATGGAGTGTGATAAAGTGGGAGTGTTTGTTGGTATAATGACGGAGTCAGAAATTGCATTGAGAAATATCAAAATATAAAAAAAAAAAAAAAATACGTAAATTTAAAATCTTAACCCTTAGCACAAGGTGACTCTGTTGGAGGGGGCAGATGTGGGCGAGAGGGGTGGGAGTAGGATTGAAGAAATGAGACGAGGGTGAGGGTTGAGGGCGTGGAAGCCGGAAGGGAGGAGTTCAGCAAAAGGCTACTTATAAAATTTGTTTTTTTTTTTTTGGTTAGAAGTCCCTTTTTAAAATTTTTGTAAGGAACTCATTTTAAAAAAAATATTTTTTTGAAACATTGGACCAACTAAACATGAAAAATCTTTTCACCATATCTAACACACCCTAAGAGTTTTATCTTTGGCAATATCATGTCCGATCTAGTTTGATTAATGAAAAAAAAAACATGGAAACAATTATGTAAATAAATATTTAATTTAATTAAAAAAATTATATATAATGATCATATAATTTAACGTGATAGTAAAACAAGCAAACGTTACAAATCCAGATCAAACAATTCTCACGCATGCATACTTAATTAAGTCGTAAAAGAAAAGGGAAGTACTGAAACATAATTAATTAGGTGAACAATATGTGTGTCTTACCTATCTTTTTTATTAAACTTTTTGATATTATGGTCACACAAATTACTACTTAACAACTTATTTGGAGGGTTTTAATTATTTACTTTAGTTTTATTATATCTATTTTAAAATTCACTGTATTAATTATGTAATTATAAAAAGTATCATTTTTTATGTAACAATTAATTCAGCATGTGATTACCTTTCCCCCCTTCATCTTGCTTACTTATTATTCAATTATTATTTTTTATCATTTAACTATCCTTAACTTTTTTTAATAATAATTTTATCATGTACTTTTTGTAATATTATAAATTTATTCTTTATATCACTGTGTGACACTATCCATCAATATCAATAGGAAATAATATAATTCATCAAAACAATACAATAATATAGAAGCATTAATACAACATAATACATTTTATAAATTAATACTCCACTATAGAAATTAGTGGTCATATTGTTCTACTTTTCTCTTTTTCTTTCCTTTTTTACCCTTACCGCAAGATACAATTAAAGTAATATACATATACAATTATGTACTTTAATTTGCATGATAGAAAGTATGAACTTCTTATAATTAGCACGTAAAAGAAGTTCCAAGAATTATGACATTAGATCATTGATACTTTCTTTAAAAACAAAACAAAAAAAAAGTTCCATTGACATACTTTAAAGGTGGCACCTAGGATTTAATTGCTAGGTAGTATATAATTACTTTAGCTCCAATATTGGAAGCTAGTGAGAGAAGGGTGTGTATATATATAGTTTCATGGTGAAAAAATTGTCAATATAGATTAGAGAAATAATATGGTAAAATGGCGAGTTTTCCCCAAGTGAAAAAGTAGAGGGGTAAAGGCTCCATCAAGAAGGCAACAAACAAGAAAGACACAATATATAAATGTCTTTTAATTTGGTTTCAGCTAACATCTACGCCCTCCAATTTTGGATATGCACAAATAGACACTTAAACTTGTATAAAATTGAACAAGTAGACATACACATCCCATGTGGCATAATACACATGACACTATATAAGACACAAAATCGTCTTGTAGGAAGTCACGTAGGATGAATGTGTTTATTTATTCATTTTTATACTAGTTTAAGTATTTCTTTGTGCACGCTCAAAATTGTAGGACATAGATGTCAGATAAAACCAAATTAAAGTGCATATTTGTGTATGATGCCAACAAAAAAGGTGTCAAATTATTGGGATAATTTTAGTTCATTGTCTTAGAGTGGTCTAGTTTATAAAATAACCAACAAATATATAGACTTTATATATTTAAAATGTAATATACTTAATCCGTATATAAATTATATATATTTCGATCCTATTAGTAAATACGTTTGATCCAATTATATATATTGATATGTTTCCCGAATAAAAGGTTTTTTTGGTCAGAAAGATTTATTTCTACCAAGAAAGTTTATTGCATAACTTGACTAGTATAAAGTAGATGGATTGGTACCTAAATAATTACTAAACGAAGATAAAGCTAGAAAAAGGTCCAACACATCTACCACCTTGTTTTGTTCTCTAAACGTAAAAGTGTATTGTTTTAAGTTAAAGGAGTAGTTTCTCTCTTTTTTTGTAATTCGATATTCGTTATTCACATTCCATTCTCCATTAATTCTAACTTGCATGCTAGTCTCTAAAGGGGAGAGGGAGAAAATCACAAAATAGAATATAAATTATTTTCTGAGTTATTCTTTCTCCTACTTTTTTTTTCCCCTTACTTTAATGTTATAAATCAAATCATAGCTTAAACTAGCCAAAGAGTCTAGCTAGGTAGCAAAAGTGGGAGTAACATTTATTTATGAAACTCTTTAGTTGGAAAAAATTTACAATGGTGGAGGCATAACCAACAATAGTTGGATGATCCTCCATTAATTAGTTGACACTTGGATAATGGGTCCACTTCTTTACCTTTTTATCGTCTCTTTTCTACTTACTTCTCTTTTCTTTCATTTTCTTATTTTCCTACTCCTAATAAATATTTTTTACTTCATTTTTTTAAGATGTTGATATATTGAATAAAAAAATTAATAAACATTTTTTTATCACAATAACCAAAAACGTTTTTAGGACTGAGTATTTAAAATACTCATATCATTCAATATTTTTAATAATATTAAATTAACTAAAAAATATTTAGTATTTTCTCAATTACAAGCATCTAAAAAACAAATTAATTCAAATTTAGTTTTCCATAATTTTTTTAAATTCTGTTTTAGTTCATATATTTATAGTCATTGTTATTTTAATTCTGTTTTTAGTTCATATATTTATAGTCATTCTCTTAACAGAGAGTATCCGTTATTTTTCTTAATTTATATAATTTTTTTAAATACTTAATAGAAAAATGTTGGGAAATATATATTATAACTGAATGTATGTAAAGACACGAAAAATGAATTCTAATAATATTAAGGCTGAATGATATTATTATTATTATTATTGTTATTATTATTATTATAATATAATGATTAGTTAGTTTAAAAGTATATGGAACCGATTGATTCTTGAAAATAAATTAAGCATTGTAAGTTTTAATTCAGAAGACTTAAATTTTGTTTTGTGACCCGCCTCACCTGTATAAATTTTTTAAAAACGTTTATGAGTCCGTCACTCCCTGTCCTGTTCTATCCCGTTGTCATTCTTATATTTAAATATAGTTATGGTGAAAGAAAAAGTATGTGCAATTTCAAAATAAGATCAAAAATCAAAACAAAAATAATCTTATCAAATCAATTTATATGCTAAAGTAAATTAGTTTGTATTTTGAGTTAATTTGATTCTATTAAATATATTGAAAAATAAGTTTATTTTTAATGTTAATAATTTTATAAATGTTTAAGTTATTTTAACAGAAAATGTATTTATCGATATTTTTTTTATCAAATGTATTAATTATTTATTAATGTTTTGAGAATTAGATATTAATTAGGAGTAAAATAAATGAAAGAAACGAGAGGTGAGTAGGAGAGAGATGGTAAAAAGATAAAGAAGTGGATCAATTATTCAAGTGTCAACTAATTAATGAAGGGTCACCCAACTATTGTTGGTTGTGCCTCTGCCATTGTAAAAAATTTCCTTTAGTTGGATTGTGACGATCACATTTTTAGAAATTTGATGTTATACCTTTTTTATGATTTTAATTGTCTTGAACTTTATTAGAAGTAATAAATTGTTGGATTCTTTTTTCTTAGTTGAATCGACAAGTCTTTGACAAATTTGAATGGTTAATAATTGTATTTATTATTATTAAAAAATTCACTTAATAAGTGTAAATATCTAAATCATAATAAATTAAGTGTCTTTTTTTTCTTCAAAAAAGATCAAAATTCTTAAACATAATCTTATTTTTATCTTTGGTTCTTAAAATCTTAATTATTATTTTGGTTTCGTTCAATGTGATGTAATTGTGTGATAATATGCGATTCTTTAAGAAATAGAACCATATCAATCGATTTACTCTGTCTTTCTTAAATGTGTTAAATTAATAAATTGAGTTATATTTAATCAGACTTTAGATTAATCAAAAATATAATTAATGGATAAGTGATTACCCAAGTTAGATTTAGATTAAAATCGATGGATAAATTTATTTTTTCATTCATATTATTTTGAAGAGCACATAGCCAAGTCTTTCTCTATCCAAATTACAAAACAAATTTGTGAATTAATGCAAGTCTTTTGGATCAAATCATTTCTATAAGTTAATTCCAAAATTTTCAATAATTTATGGATTCATTAACTTTTTAGATTTATCTAAAAATGATAAATCCCAGAAAATTGCTCTAACAACATTCATGCTCTTTTGTATCTACCGTATTAACAAGTAGTAGTAATTTTTTTTTAAAAAAATAATATAATTCTTCACACAATGTAGAATAAATACTAGCATGGGTCGAGCCCGTCGCATTGAACGAGTTTATCTTGTGCGGATTACTTTTTTTATGTATTTTGTAAGCTATGATATAAAAATAGACGTTTTAACATGTGCGCATCCAAAGAGCTGCGGCAAAAGTTTCCTCATCATAAAAAAATACAAATACTAAGAGCAAATGTTCTCTTAGAAACGACGCCGTAAATGGGAGTTAAATGACTCTAGTAGGTTCCATGTCTGTTTTGGTTTCTCTGCTTCTACTTAACTCTACTATCACCGGACCAACCACCTTTTGCTCCTCCGTACACGGCGAATCACGGCGAGGTTACCGATGAAACGCGTTACTTCCGACGTACTACTTCTAATTTTCTTTACTTTCAACTTTTTCAGAAACGTGTCAGCTTCAATTCACGAGTACAAAGATGAGCAATTTATTCCAAAGTCCAATGCTTTCTTCTTCCATGGAGGAACTGAGGGTCTCTATGCTTCGAAATCGTCATCAAATGTTTCCCCAGATAAACCCCTTGAAGGAAAAACGTTTATCAGGTACCTCACGCGCGCTATCTCATACACACGCGCCTTCAGTTTTACAAATTGCTTTAGTACGATTTTAGTGAAATCAGCTTGTTGATTGATTAGTGATTGATGGGTCAAGCTTTATGCTTTTACCTAATATTTACCATCTTGTTTGAGTCTGCATGCAGATGCAGTATGTTTTAGTATTATTAGAGATTAAATGAAGGTAGTTGTTTGATTACTGTGACCCGTCCTGTGTGGTGCTCAATGCTCACATTGGCAGTCCTAATCCTGCACAAGCGGATGAAGGAGGAGGGTTGTGGTACGTTGATGATCTCATGATCAGCGTAAAACTAGTATATCTATGTTGAATACTGATTATATTGGTAGTGAGAATTCATATGGATGATTGAGGGGTGTCAAATGGACAGATTGAGCTGAGTTTGGGTGGATGTAAATGGGTTAAGTTAAGCAATGACCTTCCCAAAAGTTACTTGGGTTGAATCAGGTCGTCTAGTTCTTACTAAGTTTTAATTTATTTGCTTGTTTGTGTTTAATAATTTATTTGGATCTTCTCTTTGTATTAATTTTTTTTTTTTTCAAATTATGGTAAAACTAAAAATGCTATTATAGTCATGTTGATTCTTATGCTGCAACAGAGACCAGATATTCTTTAGACTGTGCCAATAATTTTATGTAAGTTTTGGACCAAGTGTGACCTGATTATGTTTTTTTTTTTTTGGATAAGAAGTGCTACCTGATTATGTACCGAGATATAGCAGAGAGTAACTTTCTTATTGATGTAATCAGAATCATCAATGACATCTAATCAGCAACTTGATAAACAATCTGGTAGAAGCAGCATTAGCTGTGCAGAAATCTATTGTGGTTCAAATTAGCCCCCTCTCTTGAATGTCGTGCAGATGCTGACATAGCATTGCTTGATTTTTGGCCATAGATTTTGGTTCCAAGATTGTCAATCAAACTGACCCATTGTTCCAACTTCAAACCCGAAACATAGAATTTGAAGTTTGAAAAACAAGTTTTAGGAGTTCCAAGTCTTGACTCACATAACTTCAACTCTGTTTTCATGTCCAAACACAACTTCAACTTCCTTTTTCCACTTCAATTTCAAATACTACTTTTTCAAATCTCAACCAAATAATGTTCAAACGCCTATTCAGTGTTTGACAGTTGATAGTTTTATCACTTGCAAGGACACCTGTTCCACCCTTTCACATAAGTAGAAGTGCACTTGCTGAAGCTTCAAGTGTTTACCCCATGAATATACTTCATAGAGACGATCATTCAGAAAAATGTCCATCTTATTGACTAAAAGTTGTTCTTATTAGATCAGTTTCTAAACAATCTTTGGTGTTATTCCATTCAGGAGAGGATTGTGATAAAGAAGAGAATGATTCTAGTGCAATATGTACAGTACATTATGGATCCATAATAGTAATAGAAGAAACTTCCTCTTAAAATTTGACTTTGTGAAATGAAATTTGTAAATTAAGTAGCATTTCATATATTGTTCTCTTGCTTTAATGTGTCTTTGTAATTAAATGGTTATCCAGAATAGCCATCTTGAAACACAGACAAGTAATCTAGAGACTCTCAGGTGGATTGTCTGATATGTCGATGCTGAAATTGGCTGTGCGAACCTGTAATCAAGTAGAAGTGTAGGATGCTCAAAACCTGATAATTGCACCTAGCTGTTTCATTTGACTCCTTAGCTAGTAACATTCCAAGGCTGGAGAAAGGGTCACGGATGTAATGTCAATCTGCAATATAAATGAAAAACTAGTTTTAATAATGTCAAAAAGCTCCATTAATAATTTCTCAAAAAAGGAAGTTTCATTAATAGACACCAGTAGGTATCGAAAAAAAAGTACAAGATGTGTCTGTGACTCTGCTTGAGTCATACATTGTCTTGCACCATATTTGATCAACTATTAACACAACATGGCATTTTCTCCTGAAACCAAACATACAAGTAAAATAAAAAGGTTTCTTTAATTCTTATATCATTTTCAGTATTATGAAGCAATCTTCTATTATGTTCGTTCCTTATACTCCAAAAGAGGCAAGGTGGTGACGTTTTCCACGTTGCCTTCCATTTGCCGGTCCTCTCCAATCTCCAACTCGTAGTTGCTTCATCCACTGGCCTTGGTAGCACCCAAGGATATTCAACAATGGGAATGCAACAGTCCATGGTTGTAAGTCCCTGCAATGCAACAAAAGATGATTAGAATCCTCTCCTGAAATAAATTAAAAACTTGATGGGAGTTGGTTCACATTTTGTGTGTTTAAAAGGAAAGAGTCCCACTGTAGGAAGCTTCTAATTGTGGATGGTACACAAAGGAGCCAGATGTTTCATATCCTTTTGTTCTGTTTTTGGCGATTGGTGAAATCGGGATTGACTTGGTTTGTTAGCAAGTGCCATTTCCCCTTTATTTTACCCCCACCCACACCCTCCTTTTCTTTTTGGGTTTTGATTTGTGGCATAAGTTCTGTTAGCTAATGGTAAAAGCTCAAAGAAACTTCAAAATAATAGTATAATGGGGCTGAGACGAGTTGGAACTTTTGTTATTTTTCGTTTGAAGCTTGTCATAAATTACTTTGGCATTATTATCATTGCTTCTACTCTAGAGTCCTTAACAGTGAAGTTAGTGTGTTTTATTTCATACACTCAGCTTTAGATCTCTGCTGCTAGTATGAATTTTGTGTGGATCATCACACAAGCATACATGAACAAGTATCGGTTGCTTGACTATGCATGTGCTTGATATAAACAGTTGGCTGGCTTGCTGCTTTAGCGGTATTGAATGTAAACTGAACTTGGCAATTTTGAGTTCAAGGTTTCAAAACTATGACTATTTGTTTTGGCGCTGCTTGCTCTATCTCTTTCCTTACCCATTTTGTTCAGAAGGAAATATAAAAAGGTAGGAAAGTTAGCTTATTTCGTATTTCTGTATTTTTGATGCACTTGATAAGTAGGAAACCTGTTAAAAAGCCAGAAAAAAAGAAAAAAGTTCCTTTCTTTTTCAAACAAATTGTGGAAACTATCATCTTTTTCTTAGTTAAGTTTCCTTCACTTCTGTTCTCAAGAAACACATTTTTGTGATGACTGAGCTACTCTGTTTTGTTTAAAATATTTGCTAGAAGTTTTATGATTTCTTTAACAGCCTTTTTAGATCTTACTTCTTAGCTGGGTAGTAATTTTAGTTTGAGATTCTCATTAACTAGCATATTCATTCTAGTCCGTTTATTTTCAATTTTCTTCTATGAACCTTGAGATTGCTAACTCACACTTGATCTCGGCACTGCAGATTTGAAGATGTTGTCTTTTTGAGGACGAGGGAGTCTGCTAATGCGAAAAATGAAATGCAGAGTCGAACTGGGTTGATTGAAACTATCATTCTTGAGGTCAGAGACAGAGAAAGGATCGGAGATGCTTTTGCAAAGTCTAATGCTCTGTGTTGTACTCCAAAACTTGCTCAAGAGAAGTTCTGCACGGTCGGAGAGGTTATAATTCAGCACAACCAAGACAACCCACTTTGGCCACTACGTATTCAGACGTTTTTTGAAGGAAAGAATCAGGAGGCAAATATGCTTCCCACAACAGTTGAAATAAACAGTACTGGCATGTATTACCTTTATTACATGTTTTGTGACCCAGAACTTAAGGGAACAATAATCAGAGGCAGAACAGTATGGAAAAATCCAGATGGCTATTTACCAGGGAGAATGGTACCATTGATGACCTTCTACGGACTTGCTTCTTTAGCCTATCTTGTACTTGGTCTATTTTGGTTTCTAAGGTTTGTCCAGTTCTGGAAGGATGTCATACAGCTACATTACCAGATTACAGCTGTTATTGCCCTTGGCATGTCTGAAATGGCTCTCTGGTATTATGAATATGCAAATCTGAATTCCACTGGAAGCAGACCTATGGTAATTACGATATGGGCAGTTACAATGACTGCTGTAAAAAAGACGTTGTCCCGTGTGCTTCTTTTAGTCGTTTCAATGGGTTATGGTGTCGTGCGGCCTACTCTTGGTGGTGTAACCTCAAAAGTGTTCCTGTTAGCCCTTATGTATTTTATTGCTACGGAGGCACTTGAACTTGTGGAGCATTTGGGCAGCATCAATGACTTCTCAAGGAAAACCAGGATATATTTGGTGCTGCCTGTTGTTTTCTTGGATGCATCGTTTATTTTGTGGATATTCTCATCATTATCCAAGACACTGGAAAAATTACAGGTAAATTTTGGAGTAAAATGATGATTCCATTGCTTATAGGATCTTAGCAAACTGTGGAAAAGTGCAAGTGCATTAGCACTCGGTTTCATTTAGATGAACCAATTTTAGTGGGATCCACAAATTTCTCTGTATAAATGTATCTGCAAATATGTAAATATATAATATTTTTATATTTTCTTTAAATATATTTAATTATATATTATGTGTGCATTCATTCTTCCTTATTTGTTGATTTCGTCATAATGTTGATGTGCAAACATATAATTTACTTCTTGGCTAAAGAGAAAAGGGTAACAATAATAGAAGAGAAGAGAGTAAACAACCTTCTTGATATAATTTAATAAATTTTAGCATGAGACATATTAACCTTATTATTGTAGTTTGTGTATTTACTCATGCAGTTATTGATCATTTTGTCACTCTCAACTGCAGATGCGGAAAAGCATGGCAAAACTTGATCTTTATAGAAAGTTTACCAATTCCCTTGCAATTTTTGTGCTGCTTTCCATTGCTTGGGTTGGCTATGAGGTAATGTAGTTTCAAGTTCTGAATACAAGAATGGTGTCCAAATACATGAAATATGGCTTATCTATGAGATCCCTGTCCTATTGATATTGCTGTTAAGAAAGAAGGTATGAGTCTGTGCATTCTGCAATCGCTCTTAGGTGGAAAGAGCTTATTGATCAGTTTAGTAGTATATTAGATCAGAAATGAGCACTCAATGACAATAAAGAGATCCCTCTTCTAATTAGTGATGGTAAGTTCCATGATACCCATAGGAGTAGCGTCTCTTGGTGAAAATGAAGGTGGTAAAAATTTATGGTGAACGTACGTGACATTTGGATTTTTTTTACTTGTTGAAGATGTGGGTATGGTAAGAAAACAGAACTTGCATAGCAAGAAGGCAGGTGAGTATATTATATGAGGTAATCTAGTTTGTAACTTGTGATGATAGTTTATAGTGAGAACATATATGCATGTTCTTTTACTTATTTTGGCTTCACTTAAATCTCTCTCTCGCACACATTGTTCATAGGTATCTTTGATAGTTTAAACATTTGGATACTGTGAGATTAAGTTGATAGAATGGGAGGAATATACCAAGTGGTAAATGTGGGTAGAGAATGGAGATCGAAATAACCCACTATTATTTTTCATCCTACGTTTGACAAGATGAGGAAGAGATGTCAGATAATTACCAGTGGTGATGTCATTTAATGGTTTTTGCCTGACATGCATGCAAGATTAATGCTGCTTTTCATCTCACTCATCTAATTCTGGTTCAGCTGTACTTCAATGCAAGTGACCCATTAAGTGAGCTATGGCGAATTTCCTGGATTATTCCAGCTTTCTGGAGTTTGCTTGCCTTTTCGTTGTTGGTAGTAGTATGTATTCTCTGGGCTCCTTCCAGTAACCCAACCAGGTACATGTTGTAAACTGGGCCCTTATTTCTTTCTATTCTATTAGCCTTTCTGTGAAATGGTTTGACAAAATTGTTTGTAGTTGGTATTTACACTAGTCAATCTAGTTTATGTCATTATCATTGGTAACCTTTGATATGGGCTATTCACTTTTTCAAGATTCTTAATGGATATTGTACTCAACAGTATTTTCTAATTGTCATGTGTGAATGTTCTTTTGTGGCATAGAATGTTCCAAGGGATGACAGGTAATAAAAGGGACATACCACGGATGATAAAATGAGCAATAGAAAGATGAAGGCAATTTAAAATGTCACTGCTTACTCTTCCAGAAAGTGCAATCTATGAATGAAAAAAAGTGTAAAGGAATAATAACTACTGTGGTCACTAGTTTTGCAATATATGTTTGTAATGAATAGGTTTATGGAGCTTCTCCAGTACTGAGATTCTGATTCTATTCGTCAGCCTTTCTTGCTTTTCATCAGTGAAGAAACAATATAGCTCCTACTTGTGTAGCAGGAATAGCCGACTCATGGTTGATTTAAGTACAGTACTGCAACTAAGTTACCGGGAAATATCTGCTAAAACTGTTTTTGCTTGCTGACTTTAGATATGCATATTCTGGTGAGACCGCGGATGATTATGATGAGGAAGCCATCTCTCTCACGACTGGAGTGAGGGTAAGTGACTCGGGGACCAAGCTCGAAAGGAAAGAAAAGAAAGCATCTGTTTCAACCGATCTTGTAACTGATCAAAGAGAAGATCTTGAGGAGGACAAGCGTGAGTAGTGTCATTCCTGCATTTCTGGAACGGTAATTGCTAGTACTTTATGTATGATGCTCTTACATCATTTGCATTACATGTACAAAATTAGCGCTAGAGCCTATAGGGATGTCAAACATGTTGTGACTGAAATAGTTCAAACTTGTACATAATGAAATGTGTGCTACGTTGAATATATTCAGATGCCATCGACCCTTTTCTTTTTCCTTCATCCAAGCATTCTGCTGTGGTGGGACTGGCCTTAACTGTCAAGTTTGTACTCCAACTTTGAGAGTGCACTCCTATAAACCTCAACCGTCGACTAAACACTCCAAACTTGTTTTCACTGTGTCCTGTGGACATCTGACGGTAACATGACACATAAATTTTGGAGATGTTTAGATTATCATTTTCTAAGTTGGAGTATTCGATTGATGCAGTGCAAATGAGTTGAGGTGTCTAGATACTTAAAGTTGGAGTATTTACTTGTAAGTTGAGGTCAAGTTTGAATAGACTTAGTTAGGTGTTTGTTCGTCCTTATTTGGCGTCCAATAATCACATTGGAGTTCAATCAAAATCCAAATGAAAAAGTCTCATATTGAGAGGTTAAATGCTCTCTTACAAAAACAACTTTGTACTCAAAGTGATTCAAACTCGAGATTTCTGGTTATAAATTTAGGGCCTGTTTAGTTTTGCGATATGAAATCATCAAAAAGAAATATTACTCCCTCCGTTCTTGTTTGTATTTATCAAATAAATTCCTACTTTATCATTTATATTCACCAAATATAAAGTAACAATGAATTTTACAAGGTAATGATATGATTATAAATTTTATTTACATATGAAATAAATGGTCAGTAGATACAAATGTGGGTTGTTTTAACAAAATATAAATTTGTAGGTCAATTTTATATTTGAAAATTTTCAAATCATGATTTTTGGAGATTGTTAATTTATTTCATGATATGAAATCATGAGATGACATCAACGTGCAATCACTTGTCTAAACACTGATTTCATTTTACAATTTTATATCGTGATATGATATCGCATTGCTAAATGCCATAGTGATGTTTGACAAGTTGAACACCTCATCCACGTGGCTTTGGAATGATACACGTTTAAAAGTAGTTTATACTTTATCCATACAGTTGCCCACCTACCACAAATTTCTTTTCATAATATATTCTGCTAATTCTTTTTTAGACGTCTTTTAAAAATATTATGTTTTATTAATTTATCTTTTTTTCTACTTTTTTGGAAAAAAAAAGATTTTTTTGAAATTTTATAAACTTGTTTAGACTTTTAAAAAATTAAGTAATTTGAGATAATTACTCATAGTAAGCTGGATAACTACCTCTATCCTCAACGAAATAATTTTTCTACTTAACAAATTAGAAATCTTAATCCAGTGTACACTCTAATTATATATGAACTTAAGTTAAAAGAAAACTAATTATTATCTTATACTGATATTTTCTTCGAAATTACATTAAGTTAACGCTCGTAAGTTTAATTGATGTAAATTAAGTTAATCAATGATTTTTAACAATAAAAGTGTGATACATTAATTATACTCAACTAAATATATATTGGATAGACATCAATTAATATCCTTTTTCTTTTTTTGGGTCCAAACCATAAATTAATATCTTGGGAAACCTTATTAACCTAATTGATTGATAATTTTCTTCACATTTTCCCTTCCTTTGATCCCAATTCTTATTCTATTTTTTCAAAATATCCTCGCACATCCATTAGTTATTTTTATTAGTATAATAAAAGTTAAAAATTAAAATATTTTTTATGGATAATACACGTGGATTATGCCTATTGGATGAACCACCTCATAGAGTGCCACTTCATCATTTGGTCCCACAAAGGCACTAAAAGCCGCCATATGTAACCTCATCATCTTTAAGGACAAAAATAATAATAGATTATAGTAACGAAGATCCTATTATTTTTTATTTTCTTTTATCGAGTTGTACATACTTATTACTTACCTTACATTAATTAATAATAATAATAATAACAAATTAAAGTATCTAATTCAAAATGTAAAGTTGAATGCGCTTAAACTCTTTTAACATTCTTCAAAGAACATTCATAATTAGTTTAGAAGTCTTACTAATTACATATTTTGAATTATTAAACCTTTCATCACTATAGAACTTTTTTTTTTTAAAACAAAGGTCCAACCTTTAATTAGCTCATGAGAGTAGTATTCCGTCTACTTTATTTTACTTGACCTTATAATAATAATAACAATATATTTCGTACAATCACATATAATAATATATGAGAAGAATAAGATGTACGATATTTTATCTCTACCTCAGGTGAGATAAAACTACTATTTTTAATAGACCTCTAACTTAGACAAAACAATTTAAGAAAAAACATAATGAAAGTAAAATAAAAACAACATAAATTATACAAAATAATAGATAATTACAAAAGTCCAAAAATAAGAAACTACTTTATAAGAATAATTCTACAATAATTAGTAAAGGCAACAAATAAAACACTTCTACTTATTAATCTTCTATACTATTTCGTATCCTTCAACTTTTATACTATTCTATATAAAGTTATATTCTCAATAAATTACTTGACCTTTATACTAAAAATATTAGATTAGATCTACGAGGTCTTTTATTATAACAACCTAAAAAGACTTTGTGGTAAGTAAAAAAACCCCCAAAAATAGGAAAGAAAAAGAAAATAACTTTCAAGTATTTCTATTAATACAAGAAAAAAATCCCACCTATGTTCATATAAAAACAATTTCATCACTTCAGCACAGTTAACACGTTGAATCTGTAGCTTTCGATTAATTTTGTGTTTTTTTTTTCTTCCTTGTTAAGGTTCTTTTTTGTTTACACAAAGATTACATCTTTCCACTCTTATATCAATAGAGTTGCCTAAAAGTTGTCCTTCTAGGCTTAGATCACCAATATATGATCTGGGTATGATCTATTTTTCTATAAAGATCTGACCTTTATGTGAAATTTCAAGGTTTGATAGCTTCTAGGCCTTAATTTTGACTTTTCTTGATCTGGGTCATTGTCATATTTGTCTATCTAGAGCTAAAGATGAAGGAAAAGCTAGGGTTTTTAGTGTGTGTTTGGTTTATTGTAATCGGGTCTTGTTTGGGTAGATTTGTGGTGGAAAAGAATAGCTTGAGAGTAACTTCTCCAGACTCAATCAAAGATGTGTATGAGTGTGCGATTGGGAATTTTGGGGTTCCACAATATGGAGGAACTATGGTTGGTATAGTTGTGTACCCTAAAGCTAATCAGAAGTCCTGCAAGGATTTTGCAGATTCTGATATTTCATTCAAAACTAAGGCTGGTGGTATGCCTGTTTTCGTCCTTGTCGATAGAGGAGGTAAAGGTTCTATCTTTGCTGCCCTTTGAATTGACTTATTAGAGCTTGGTTTAGTGATGTTTGTTTGAGTTCATACTGAGGATGCACTTTATCTGTTAGGTGCTGAGGATTATATAGATTATCTTAATTTTGTTTTTGTCCATAAATTGTGTAATCAAATTTCAGGTTTGTAAATGTCATTTAACTATACTTCAGTGGGCTTTCTCTCTCTCTATATATATAGCCATTTCATTCTCCTACTAGATTGCCTTTGGCGGAAATTAGATTTCCTAAATCTGCACTTATTCGGACACCGAGTTCAGTTCTCTAACACAGAATAAAAGACTTGAAATACTCCTGGCAAACATTGGACTCTTCCTGTTAGTATGCATATTTAAATTTGTACTCTCTGTTGTCAATCATTGAATATATTGAAGATGCAGTAGCACGGTTCTTATATGTTGAACCAGAGAAATCGTTCCTACATCAGTGCTTTCTAGAATTGGAAATCATTGATGTAAGGAGCACAGTTCAGATTATTCTGATGCCTTTTGAAGTTGACAATGTTTTGTAGTCTTGTAACAAGCATGCACTTGCTTTTGGCTCTTCCAGTGAACCTGAGGAAATGTCATCTATGTTTGTGTTTTTTATGTGCTAATTAGTCTATATGTTATATCTATTCCAAGTTCAAACTACCACAAATGCTCCACCTACTATTAATAAGTATTTAAGACTGGATAACTAGTGATGGATGACCAAAGTGGAGCTTGTTAAAACCGTGTATGTATCTAACATGTGTCTCCTTTTTCTTCTCTGGTCTGTGTATACTGCTTTACTGTCAGACTGCTATTTCACACTTAAGGCTTGGAATGCTCAAAAGGCTGGAGCTGCTGCTATTCTTGTTGCTGATGATCGCAATGAACCTTTGATTACCATGGACACCCCTGAGGAAGAGGATGCAAAGGCAGATTATCTGCAAAATATAACTATTCCATCAGCTCTAATTAGTCAATCTCTTGGGGATAGCATCAAGAAGCAACTATCTAAAGGGGAGATGGTTAACATAAACCTGGATTGGAGAGAGGCTCTTCCGCATCCTGATGAAAGAGTTGAGTACGAGTTTTGGACCAACAGTAATGATGAGTGTGGTCCTAAGTGTGAAAGCCAGAGAGAGTTTGTCAAAAACTTCAAAGGGGCTGCCCAGATACTTGAGCAGAAGGGATATACACAATTCAGTCCCCATTACATAACTTGGTATTGTCCTGAGGCATTTATTTTGAGCAAGCAATGCAAGTCTCAGTGCATCAACCATGGGAGATACTGTGCTCCAGATCCTGAGCAAGACTTCAGCAAAGGTTATGATGGGAAGGATGTTGTTTTACAAAATCTGCGCCAAGCTTGCTTTCATAAGGTTGCCAATGAAAGCGGGAAGCCGTGGTTGTGGTGGGACTACGTTACTGACTTTGGAATCCGGTGTCCAATGAAGGAGAAGAAGTACAATAAGGAGTGTGCAGATCAAGTAATCAAATCCCTTGGTAGGTTGGAGTTTCTTGTTTTTGGTGTTTCCTTTAACGAATTTCAGCTCATGCACATTTTTTCCAGTGTAAATATGCATTTGGTGTTAGAAAAATATATATGTTTGATGTTAATAGTTCAATGTGCTAACTGCGATTCATCTTTTCCTTGTAATATAGTGGTGATGGTTAGTAATTGCTGTTGCTTACTGTATTTTGGTAGTATTTCTGTCTTCACATCCTTGTCCATGAGCAGTGAGCACCGGGTCTTAGCCTCTTAGGTATAGTCCAACTCCCTGGTCCACCATCTGAT